AAAGCCCCACAGCCTCCCCTTGACATTCCAGAAAGCCTGTGCAGCCTAGTGGTTAGTGCTAGATTAGAACCTGTGAAACTACACCACAAAGTTTACTAGGTGACCCTTGGAACAGTCTCCTCTGTCAGCCTCACCTACCACACAGGACTGTTGTGAAAAGAAGGAACAGGTTTATCAGCGAGAGCTCCTTGGAGAAAGGATGAGATTAAAAGAAAGCGTTTTGAGCCAACCTAGCAAAAAACCAAGCAAAACAAATGCCCGTCTTCTGGTGCACCTGTTCGCTGAAGCAAGAATCACAAACTCTTCAAGAGACAGAAGCATGGGTGACTTGGCTACGGAGGAATACAGTTTCTTTTTCACATTTTACGAGAGTATGGTCATTCCACAGCAAGACCCATGCAATTCCTCTTTCAGCCACCAACCAAAACTGCGTGCAAGTTCTTTGGCAAAAGTCTGCACACTCGGGGTCGTGCCGTTTTGGTGGGCATGGCATGAATTTTGCGCTTTCTTTAGTTCGCACATTTGCAGTAACTGCTGCAACAAAACCCAAGGCCCCCCCACCTTCTTTGAGCTGCTGCGATCCCCACCCGACGCCCAAGGCGCTGGAAAACGAGCGCCTGCCCTCCCAGCTCCCTTGGCAAACCACACAACCAGCAGATCCCGAAATAAAAAGAGCTCGTGTGTCCTTCCTCCTCTGCGGTAGCCTCCACAATACCCCACCATTCTAAGACCTTGGGGAGGAGGAAGAGAACGAAAGGAAAGGGCGACTCATCAGCGAAGCGGCCCTCAGTTCCCCCCCAAAACCCCACTCGCCACACTGAGCCAGATGCACAGGTGGGTGCCGGCCCCATTGCACTTCCGGTGGGACCCGGCTTGCCTGCAGACCCTTCCGCTCACCCTTCATATTCCTCCACTCCGAAGCCTACACCGTTTCTGTGTCACCGGCAAACTGCTGCTGCTGTTGCTCCAACATGGCAGCAGTTTGCTGGTGATGCAGAAGCAGCGGCGGCTTCAGAGCGGAGGAAGATGAAGGGTGAGCGGAAGGGTCTGCAGGGAAGCCAGGTCCCCCCGGGAGTGCAAAGGTGCCGGTGCCCGCCTGTGCATCTACTCAGTGTGGCGGGTTGGGGGGGGGGGGACTGGGGGCGAGGGCCGCTTCGCTGATGAGTTGCCCTTTCCTTCTCTTCCTCCTCCTCGAGGTCTTAGGACGGCGGGGGATTGTGGAGGCTGCTGCAGAGGTAGGAAGGACACACGAGCTCTTTTTATTTCGGGATTTGCTGGTTGGTGTGGTTTGCCAAGGGAGCTGGGAGGGCAGACGCCCATTCTCCAGTGCCTTGGGCATCAGGTGGGGATCACAGCGGCTCAAAGAAGGTGTGGGGGGGTGCTCTGGAGGTTTCCAGAGGTCTTTCTCTGCCCGCGCACATGGGAAGAGAAAGGCAGCCGGGGGGGGAGAAAGGTGGTGGGAGGGGGGGCGCTCCGGAGATCTGTGCTGGGGCGAAAGTGCACGTGCCAACAGAAAGGGCTCTGTGTGCCATAGGTTCGCCATCGCTGCTTTAGAGTAATCCTGGTACAAGGGAAACACGTTAGCATAACAGATAAATTTACAGTGATTTATTTGAAGCTGAGAAATATTTTACATCTTTACATTAGTGTGCAGTTCTTAACATCTCAAAGTAGAGTACATGGTATCAAGCTACAACCTAGGGCTACCCATAGGTCAAGGCTTTTATGCCTTTTGTTAACTCTTCATATTTCAACACAATTACATTCATGTATTGTCAACTGAGACCCATTAGCAAAGGAAGTATCTCCCCATTAATCTATCTAGAACAGAAGTTTTACCAACTTTTTTTGCTCTTTTGATATAGACTAGCTTAGGCCATTGGAACACATTTCTCATTTTCTTCCCTTATCCAAACACACAAGCACATTTTTTTTCCATGACAAGGTAAGAAAACATTCTGCTCCATCATGTACACTTTAGCAGAAGATTGGATACATCTTGATTCAATTATATTGGTCTTCCTTAAGACTTCACTACTGTCTAACAATGTTGCACTTCTGTAACCTGAGCACAATATGAACATTTAGGCCAAACAAAGGCAAGAAACAGCTAACACCACTTGGTAGTTTGTTCATTTAAACATTATTTTCCAATTGAATTTTAAACCATCTCACGAATTCAAAGGATAGTAAAGAAACAAAATGAGCTTTATTGCTTAATATACTGATGGTGTGGGATGCCAACTGCAGCATTTCACCACAGATTACAATCAAGATTTAAATGGCAATGTCACATTTAACCTACAATATAAAAAAAGTTTTCAGAATTTTTTCTCACGGCTACTAAAGTAATTAGAAATATAACACTTTCCACCCTAACTATGGTCAAGAATTGGGAAAAGTCACAGCTTTGCATACTCTCTTCTACTGCCCTCTTGTGCACAGATTCCACTAACCTTAAACACAATTTTTCATGTCTGTACCGACATTAACCATGATTAATCTCTGACCAGAATAGATTTGTAATCAGTTTCAAATGCCAGTTTATAGACTTGCCTTTATTTGCACTAGAAATGGTTTAGGTTCTGTGGGTGGGGGCAGACTGTGTGAGATGGGGAAGGGAATGGCGTGTCTAAGCCCACAGCTCATTCCTGATTTTTAAATCATGTACTACATCCGCACTGGCCCACAATGTCTTAATGCTGGTGACTAAAATATCATTTAAAAACCACCAACGCGTTAAACTTTTCACCTGGCATTCTAGGCAAATAATTACTTGCAGGCTTTACAGTGATACATAGCTTATTCTATGTCATTTCTTTCTCCTACCCAAAGGCTTTATTGGATGGAGGCACATCTGAGTGATTTTGTGATCTCTCTATAAATTTGTGTATAAGGATACACAGGAGTGGAGCCTCTGGGTTCTCCCGACTTTCTCTTCCCTCTCCCCTACAGTGGGGGACCATAGATTCATAAAATTCTTCCAATCCATTTAAGTCAAAACGTTTTACGCACTCCATACACCAATGAATAATACGTTCAGCTGTGAAAACTACACAGTTATCGATCTTGGTTAAATTTGCTCAACTAAACCTTTTACAGAAAAATATGGAACATGGAAAGACAACTAATTCTTCACTTTTCGTTCTATTCATATATGTTGAAGTAATTCCAGTGTATGACTGTATAGAGAAAAATAAGCTATGACCGAAAACAAAGAAAACTATTAATATTCACATTCAAGGATGCCACCAAAAAAGAAGCAACAAAAGTAGTAAATTTCAAAAAGCAGGCTACACTTGGCAGATGCTTCATAAATGTAATAGACATAATATTGGGACCTTCAAAGGTATTTTCAATTGCACATAGAGTTATGCTGGTTCTACAAAAGAGAACGTGCCAAATTTCTAATTTAACAGTTCACATTCTCTCACTATTAATTTTATTTTACAGTATCAAGGGCAATAACTTGATTTAAATAACTCCAGTTAGCTACCTACATGACAAACAGCCATGAGACATTTTGTACCTG